TAGTGAAATACAGGAGAGGGTTATCAAGAAGTGTGATAAACAAATATGCCATGTGCATATGCAAACATCTTCTGTGTTTTATAATAAAATTTGTGCTTCATGGATGTGTTGCCTGCTCTGGCTTTCCACTCTCCTTCACTTTCAGCAGAAACTTCTTGATGCCAGTAGTTGTTTTTCTATCCAACCAAGAGTATCCATGGTGATGTTTATAAGAAAAAAATCTAATTATCTTCATAAAAGTGTTCTTCCAAGAGCTGGTTTGATACGCAGGGGGTTTTTGGGGGTTTTTTTTTTGGTCAGTGATTCATGTTGTCTATCCAGCTCAACAGCACAATGCAGGCAAGGATGGAAGGAGGAATAAGAAAGGGGACATATAGAGCTGCAAGAAGTACAGAAGTGGTACTGTTTCAGCAGCAGGAGTGCTGGTATAGACACGAGTGTACACTGCCTCTCCATCTCACAGAATTAACCCAACAACAGGACTGTGAAGAGCAGTAAACTCCTCAAGAGTGGGTGCTCAGTACACAAGATTTTCTGAGGCTGCATGGCAAAGACTGAGTATTAAGAATGTGGATGAGGTAGGGGAGAAAAGAAAGCAACAATAATTAGAATCTTGCCACGGGCAAACAAAGCTCCAGAACATCTGTGGACATTCTCCCAACTTAGTTTTTGAAAGAGAAGGTTCAAGAGTAACTGAACTTGGAATGTTGTTTGTCTTAGTGGCTTATTCATACTATTTATCCAGCTCTTAGTCATGACAGCTTCTCATTGATCCTGACGTGCACTTTTGAAAAATAGCAAGGCACAAATGCCCTTCACACTGCTCCTGGAACGTTCTCTCTCTGTGATGCCGAGCTCAGTGCTGTGCAGCTGGATGCTGTGCTCTGGCTTGCTGCTCCTCTTCCAGCTGTGGTGGCTCGTTTGGCTGCCAGCTCACCCTCACCTGCCCTGCCGGTGCGCGGCTCTCACCTGGCGGCTCCCACCTGGGCTGTGTGCTCGCACAGCGTCGGTGAGGTGGCCATGCCTCGCCAGGGCTCTGCAGGGTCTCTCACACCCCTCATCTGCGACGTCGCCCCGCCAGGTGAACTCCAAAAACCCCCTTGGGGCCTCTGGGGAGCATCAGGAGGTGCTGTGGGTCACAGACGTGTGTGCGAACACCCCACGAGCACCAGCACAGGCGGCTGCAGGAGAGCGCAGCGTGGTGATAGGGAAGGGAAGGGAAGGGAAGGGAAGGGAAGGGAAGGGAAGGGAAGGGAAGGGAANGGGAAGGGAAGGGAAGGGAAGGGAAGGGAAGGGAAGGGAAGGGAAGGGAAGGGAAGGGAAGGGAAGGGAAGGGAAGGGAAGGGAAGGGAAGGGAAGGGCTGGCTGCTCCAGGGCAGCCGTGCTCGTGAGCCGCAGATCTCCTGCCATGACCCAAGGAAGGCCGTGGGCAGGGCCCACCCGCATTTCCACAGGGCCTTTGGCAGTGTCCCTGGCGATCCCCACAGGACCTCAGTCAGAAGCGAGGAGGCTCAGGCTGCTGCTCCTGGGTAGCCTGGAAGAGACAGTGCCCAGAAAGGGTCTCACAGCTGTGCAGCAGAGGAGAATGCACACAGGCAGAGCAGCATCCTTCCAGCAGCGCTGCCTGGCAGGGGAAGAGCCGACGGCACGAACCAGCCAAGGCTCTGCCTCTGAGCCCCAGGAAACCCTTTGTCACTGTGAGGGAGACCGAGCTCCGGCACAAGCTGCCCAGAAAGGTGCGGGTCTGTCCTCGGAGGCATTAAACAAATGGTGGCAGGGTGTTCCTGGGTGATCAGGAGGCTTGGGCTGGATGAGCTCCAGAGATCCCCTCCAGGCTCCACCAGGCTGTGTTGTTGTGAAGGTGTCCTAAGCTTGCATGGAAACCAAGTGTCTTTGACTGTGCCTTGAAATTTCACAGGATTCTAGCCTGTGAAACTAACCAGGAATTACTGCGAAGTTGAACTTGGTCACACCTGAGGGAAGCCTCTCCTTGGGCTCAGCTGCGTCTCAGCCCCGTTAAATCCTGCCCTGGGTGTCTGGAAGCAGCGTGGTGGTGAGGAGGGTGTTCTGCGGGCTGTTCCCCCGCTGGCAGGAGGTCACAGAGCACAGCCAGGGACCCCTGGGTGCTGCCTGTGCCCGGAGCAGCCGCCCCGCGCCAGGGCAAACCCGGAGGTGCTGCGGGCCGGGGGTCCGGAGGTGTGGGGGGCTCTGAGCTTGGGACAGTGTGAGGGTGCGTGGGGTGACAGCAGGGGTGAGGGGTGGGCAAGAGCAGGGTGGTGTGGGGTTTGTAGAGTCTCAGGGCTGTGGGAGTGTGAAGGATATTTGGGGTGGGAGAGGTTTTGAGGGGTCTGAGGGGTGTGTGGGCTGTGTGGGGTACGAGGAGGGTGAAGGTTGTGGGTGTGAAGGGTATTTGGAGTGTGAGAAGTGTTCGGGGTGCTGGGGTGCGGCTGCGGAGGGGACCGGGGGGCAGCAGGCGTGTGCAGCCGTGGGGTCCCGATGCCGTGGGTCCGGACGCCGTGGGTCCCGATGCCGTGGGTCCGGATGCCGTGGGTCCCGATGCCGTGGGTCCCGATGCCGTGGGTCCCGATGCCGTGGGTCTGTGCCGGCGGGCACCGGGCGGGACCGCGGTGCGGGGGTGGGCTCGGGGGTGGGGGCTGCGAGGGGCAGCGCAGCCCCGCCGAAGCCGGGGGCGGTGCCGGGGGCGGCGCTCGGTGTCCCGGCGCTGCCGAGCGTCCCGGTGCCGCCGGCTCGTCCCGTCCGTCCGTCCGTCCGCGCTCGGCGTCCCGGTGCCGCTGGACCGGCGGCTCGTCCCGTCCCGGTGCCGCTGGACCGGCGGCTCGTCCCGTCCGTCCGTCCGTCCGCGCTCGGCGTCCCGGTGCCGCTGGACCGGCGGCTCGTCCCGTCCCGGTGCCGCTGGAGCGGCGGCTGGTCCCGTCCATCCGTCCGTCCGTCCGTCCGTGCTCGGTGTCCCGGTGCCGCTGGAGCGGAGGCTCGTCCCGTCCCGGTGCCGCTGGAGTGGCGGCTCGTCCCGTCCGTCCGTCCGTCCGTCCGCACTCGGTGTCCCAGTGCCGCTGGAGCGGCGGCTCGTCCCGTCCATCAGTCCGTCCGTCCGTCCGTCCGCACTCGGTGTCCCAGTGCCGCTGGAGCGGCGGCTCGTCCCGTCCATCAGTCCGTCCGTCCGTCCGCACTCGGTGTCCCAGTGCCGCTGGAGCGGCGGCTCGTCCTGTCCGTCCGTCCGTCCGTCCGCGCTCGGTGTCCCGGTGCCGCTGGACCGGCGGCTGGTCCCGTCCCGGTGCCGCTGGAGCGGCGGCTCGTCCCGTCCGTCCGTCCATCCGTCCGTCCGTCCGTCCGCGCTCGGTGTCCCGGTGCCGCTGGAGCGGAGGCTGGTCCCGTCCCGGTGCCGCTGGAGCGGCAGCTCGTCCCGTCCGTCCGTCCGTCCGTCCGTCCGTCCGCGCTCGGTGTCCCGGTGCCGCCGGGCTCGTCCCGCCCGCAGCGCAGGGAGCGGCGCCGCCGCCTCGCCGCTGACAGCGCGGTAAAGTATTTGAACTCGCTCTCGCAGCCTTTATCCAGCGCCCGTGTGCCTGCGTGCTGCTGTCCGCGCCGCTCTCTGTCCGCAGGGAAGTTTGCGGTGCCCGCTTGCTCCCGGCTCCGCTTCAGGGAGCGCTCGGAGCCGGCAGGCTGCGAGTTCTGGCGGAAACTTTGGGCGGGTGGTGGTGGTGGAGCGGCTCTGGCAGCGTTGGAAAGGTGATTGTTGTAAATCAGAAGTAGCTTGTACGTGGTAAATTCATACTAGCAAAACAAGCTTTTACTACCCTGACTGAATTTGCCAGGTTTAATGTGTATATGAACAATCGTACAAATACCAAAGTGCTCACGCTCTTCCAGTGTGAAAGCACGTCTTTTTTCCGAGATGAGAATCAATGACAATTTCACTGGAATGATTCTAGACTCTCTAAACACAACTGTGAGAGCTTGTTTAACTGTGAGGGTGCTGAGGCTCGGAGGGCAGATCTGTCTCTCATAATAAACAGGTGAGGAATACTTTGCAAGAACTCCTTCATTCCTATCACGCATTCATGACACTGTTGCCTGTATTTATTTGTTATAACGTCGATGAGCTCTTTCCCTCGCAGTGATGTGATTAGACTATTAGATTCAGAACCAGATTTTCATACTATGAGCTGCCTGGTGCTATTTTCTCTCAGAGTACTTTCCAGGACAATATTACTGTTTGGCAACAAAGCTAAACACTTTCTAAACAGCACAGTGCAGGAATATTATTTACACAAGCATAAGATGAATTTGTGGGTGATTTTACAGACTAGCCCATGATTCAGTGTCACACACTGAGTTACGTAAGTTCCTCGTTCCTCAGAATGCTTTAAAGCTTGAAGCTGCTTTCAAAGTTTATCTTCACAGGTGAGAGGCACCTGTGTCAGTCCGGGTAGCCTGGGAACTCGTGGAGTGCTTCTGACACTTAATTTCATTTAGCAGGTAATTTCATTTAGGAATGTTGTAGAGTCTCAATCTGTTCTGCACCGATCTGCAATCAACTATCCAATAAATCACTCTTTTAGGGAATCTGCTTGGCCGGTGATCTTTCACTTCAGAAAAGCCAGGTGTGGGGTTTTTGGAGCAGGTTGTAGCCAGACCAGGTGTGACATGATTAACAGATGAAGCTGTGGCTCTCATCCAGCATTCGGGAGTGTGTTCTGCATTATGTTGTTCCGGCTGTGAACCTGTAACGCTGTCTTTTGATTGTACAGCATCTGATTCTGAAGTATTTCTGTGCTTCTCTTCTGCATTTCACGATCTTCTCTTCACTTTTCTCTGCACAGAAACGTCTCAGGCTTTCTCCAGGCAAGTTCATAGCTGTCAGCTCCATGCACTCCTAACTTTCTGACTTCAACTGTTGTCTTAGGTCAGCCTCCCACCCCCTCAGAGCAGCAGTCCTGCTGAAGTCGGTGGAAACAGTGAATTTCAGCAACAGAAGGGGTTAGATGAGATGTCACAAAAGCAGCCTCACCTTCAGCCCTGACCTGCTGCTCCACTTCAGGTAGCATTATTCTCTTTCCACGCCTGATTTATATTTAATGTTCTTTTGGCCATAAAAGGCATTTCTACAGATGAAATGGCTTATGTAATAAAAGCTATATGCCATCACTTATGTAAAGTGAGCAGTTAAGCATCAGAAGAGCTTTAGATACATACAAAAGAAATGTAAAATCACCAAAAACTTCCAGGTAGATCAAAACCAGGGAAGAACACAATCAGAATTCCAGCATGTGTGTTTTCTACCAGGTCTTTCTCTGCAGTTTCCTTCTGGAAATCTAAATGCACAAATTGATTGGATACATTTATAAAAGACTTTACAATAATCCTAAATACATTACTTGTCAAAAGTACACATAAAAATCATGATAATGATTTGCACTTCCATGAAAGCTGAGATAGACAGTACTGAGTCCTGTACTTTTAGTATAATGGAGTGAATCCCTAAATTAATTTCAATATTTCAATGCAAATACCTTTTAAAAATGTTTTATCAAGATAGAAGAGTGAAAAAAACAAGCCACCAGTCAAAGTGAGATTTCCTCACCAGATTTACAGGGAGTAAATCTGAGTCTCTTTTTTTTTTTTTTTTTGCTTGTTGGACTTTTGGAACAAAGTATATTGAGATCGTCCTTCGATTTTGCTATTCACTGTAAAACAGAATGAAATTACTGCTTTTCAGGTAATCACCAGAACATTACTAGTGTTCTCAGTGATGCATAGAAATTATTACTTAATTGCCTTTACAGGTAAACCATGTAAACATTTTTATTTCTCTAGAAATGCATTGTAAATACATGCATGTAATAATTTAATGCATATTTAATCTTGTATGGCTCTGCAGAGAGCAATATTAAAGACTGATTTTTTTTTCCTCTAAAGGTTTTCCTTACACACAGGTAGGCAAGCACATACAAGACACAGAAGTTTTAGTTGCACGTCTGCAGGTATACATTCCTCTATGAATGAATATTGTTATTTGTGCCACATTAAGCTCTTAATTTTTTGTGTGAAACCTCCTGATTCTCTTTGATGCTGTCAAATGTTTCTTTTGTTGTAGAGCTGATACTGTCTGCTCAGGCAGAGGGCTGTGTGAAGGACAGTCAAAAAGTAAGAAGGTGACAATCACGCTTTAATCTTATATAATTGCATAATCTTATATAATTATATGGAAGGGTTTTTTTAAAGTTTTTAACATATTTGTTGTAAGTCTAAAGGGCGGGAAAACCTTCCTTCTTTTCTTCCTTCGTATTTTTTTCAGCAAAGTTCGCAGGAGCTGTTGGCAGATCCAGCCCCGTTTCATTGTTCTTTCCCGTTTCCCCCTCCCTCGGCGCGGCTGCCCGGGCAGCCGGGCTGGGCAGAGCAGGGCGATGGAGGCCGTGGACGTGCCGCCCGAGGGATACTCGCTGCTCAAGGCCGTGTACCAGCGGCGGCTGCGCCTGACGCGGCTGCTGCTCGACGGCGGGGCCTACGTCAACGAGAGCAACAGCCGCGGCCAGACCCCGCTGATGGTGGCCTGCATGACCCAGCACGCCGACCTGCAGAGCGCCAGCAAGGCCAGGATGGTCAAGTACCTGCTGGACAACAAGGCCGACCCCAACATCCAGGACACGTCGGGGAAGACGGCGCTGATGCACGCCTGCCTGGAGAAGGCCGGCGCCGAGGTCGTGTCCCTGCTGCTGACGAGCGGCGCCGACCCCAGCCTGGCCGACCACTCCAACCGCTCCGCGCTGGTGTACGCCATCAACGCTGCCGACAGAGACACCCTGGAGCTGCTGCTCGAGGCCTGCAAGGCGCGGGGCAAAGAAGTCATCATCATCACCACCGACAGGTCCGCCTCAGGCAGGCAGAAAACCAAGCAGTACCTGAACGTGCCTCCTCCAGACCTGGAGGAATGCACCTCCCCGGCTGATTGCGCCTCCCCGTCAGAAATAGAGCCAAACGAGGGGCCAGAAGACCCCTTCAGCTTTAAAGAGCTGTATGGTGGGCAACAGCGGGACAACTCGTCTGAACGAGTGCCTCTAATGACCAAATCCAGCTCCACACCAGCACGGTTCAAGCTGACGCAGGTGCTGCAGTGCGACCCGTGGCTGAAGTGCTGTCCAGCAGTGTTTCAGCAGAGGAAAATTGCTTCTCCACAAGAATTTCAGTGCATCAGTCCCATGGAAGAGCTCTCCTGTAAAGTCACTGGCCTCGACTTGTGCAAGAGTGTCACCGGTCACAAAAGCAGAGACAGGAAGGACGCTGCTCAGGTGCTGAAAACCCCTGATCAAACCATGTCAAGGAAAGAATTGCACGATGCAGTAAACTATCAGACTCCTCTTGCTGAAGAGAAACATAACCCCAGTGAGATTCCCATGGGCATGGATGCCAGTTTGGGACAAATCAGCTTACTTTCAAACCTTGGTAGTATTATCAAGAAAGGAAGTGGAGAACCAAATTACAACATCTCCAGTTCTCAGTTAACTAACACTCTAGTTCCTGCTGCTGATACCAAAGGTAGTAAGTCACCAAAAGGAAATAAAGAGATTCTTCCCACATACCAGACTTTGTTACCAAGTCCAAGAAGAGTTCTGGAGATGTCTCCTGTTTCTCCAAGAGGCAGAAATCAGGCTCCTCTAGAGGAAGAGGGCTCAGGAGCCCTAGTGTTGGATCAGACGAGGCCAGGCTTCCTGCCTCCGCTGAATGTGAGCCCCCGTCCCCCAGTTCCAGAGCTCACTGTCATAAACACAGTTTCTGGAATGATTTCTTATGGACAAACTCACTTAGTACCACCGGGATCTGCCTTCCCTAAGGGGACCAAAGAGACAAATCTGCTGCGGAGGAGGCCGTACGAGCAGATCACAGTCTGAGCAGATTCAGCAGCTACTGAATCTTAAACAGGAGAGCAAAGGGGATCTTTACAATATGTAAATATTCACTGCAGTCCTTGACTGTAATGGTATGTATCACAAAATAGAGCAGGTCTGAGATGTAATGTCTGCCTTAGGATGAGTGGGATAGCTCAGAAACTAAATGAAAAGACATCTAATGCAGCTGTCTTCTGCAAACTGTGTTTATTTTGCTGGTTTTGTAAAGCTTTCAACTTGGCCTGTGGCAGACAACCCACAACAGTCCTCAAGCATAGCACTTCTCATTGTAGGTTGTAAATACCACCCCTCCCAGCTTCCCCCAAACACACACCTTCCAGCACCTGGAGAGGTGGTGCCCGTGGAATTTGGGACCCTGAGGCGTTTGGCTGCATGCTGGACACCAGAGCGTGCACGTGTCCAGCTGTACAGACACAGAAACCCCAGAGACGTCAGCGTGCAGGGGTGGGTGACACAGGCGCACAGCTGGTGACACGGGTGTTGCAGCTGGTGGCACGGGTGTCAGAGCTGGTGACATGGGTGTCAGAGCTGGTGACACAGGCACACAGCTGGTGGCACAGGCACACAGCTGGTGGCACGGGTGCACAGCTGGTGGCACAGGCACACAGCTGGTGGCACAGATGTCAGAGCTGGTGACATGGGTGTCAGAGCTGGTGGCACAGGCACACAGCTGGTGGCACGGGTGTCAGAGCTGGTGGCACGGGCGTCGCAGGGCGGTGCTGCCCACCAACCCCAGCTGCGGGCTGGCAGCTGGCCGCTCGCCTGGCTGCTCCCGGGCTGTGCTGGGGCCAGGGCAGCGCTGCCGGGGCCAGCCAGGCGAGTGGCCAGCCGGGCTGTGGCACTGGCCAGCCCCAGCTGTGCCCGGGCACTGTGGCCTCTGGAACCCGCTCCCCGGGGAAAAGCGAGGGTGAGGGAGGCAGAGCCCACACCACAGACGGGCTCTGCAGCCTCCCGCAGTCCTGGAGCCCCCAAAAAGAGACCTGCAGGGTCTCAGCCCTCCTCAGTGGGCACCGGGGCACACCCAGAGTGTCTGCACCAGCAGGGCACGGCACGCACGTTCAGGAGTGGGAAGAGCTGTCCTCCCGCTCAGACAGACCCAAAAGAGACAACCCAGCAGCTCCTGGAGAAGCTGTGGCTGTCCCACCCCTGGGAGTGCTCCAGGCCAGGCTGGACGGCGCTGGGAGAAGCCTGCTCTAGTGGAAGGGGTCTCTGCCACGGCAGGACCTCGCAGTGAGACAGGCTTTTATTTCAGGTGGTTTCCAACCAAACCACTCTGTGACCCAGTGAGTCTCATTATGAAGCTCACCTGGGAGATGGAAACCCACATTTTGTCTAATTTGAAACAGAGCGCTGAATTCCCCACAAGCGGAAGGCAGTCCTCTGCAGCCTCCGAGCTACTGCATATTTTAAACTATCTCTGTCTAAAAATCCTTCTTTCCTTCAGTGTCTTGTGATTCCAAGTATCCCCCTTGCCTTTGTGTGCATCCCATAGATGCTGGATTTCTGGTATTGCATTTGGCATTTAGATCTCATCTTCTAAATTTTAAGAAAAAGTGGACGTGTTCTGTTGTAATTTACAGAAATTAGTTGTATTGAACCTGTCTGTGTGTAATGTGAATTTCAGTATACTAAAAATAGGTATTTTTTCCCTGAAAATACTCAGTGGGTATGTTGCAGCTTCAAAGTTCACCAAATCTGACAATGCCTAAAAAAGGCCTGTAATGTTATTTAGCTTTGCACTTAGTAGGAGACAATTTAACGGGGATCTTAAGCATAAAACAGTGCTAAGGGGATCTTAAACCAATTTAAAGAGGATTGGAGGCATAAAACAATTTGAAGGGGATCACAAACATAAAAATATTTAATGGGGATCATCACCATAAAACAATTTAATGGGGATTCTAAACATTAAACCATTTAAAGGGGATTATAAACATATATGCTCTGTAAATAACATTTTGGGAGTATTTGTTTCCATTCAGGTTCTGCTTTTTCCTTCAGGAGATTTTCCTGGATCAGGCCCTGTGTACACCAGGTACAGAAAAAGGATTATGTGGACACATTTTTATGATACAGAAAATTTGTGGAACAACATATGTCAGTATTAACTGAGTACAAATTAGTCCCTACACAGAATACACTCAGAATACTTTCCAAATGTTGTTACTATAATATAAAAGGAAATGGCAGTTCTCATCTGTTCACCTCATAGTGACGTTAAATATTTGAAGGGGAAAATAGATCTTTAAAAAATAAAAGCTCTTTCTTAGAAGAAATTGATCAGGTGTTCTAACTGGTATCTTTGCTGAGGGTATAAAGCCCAATTTATGCTGTTTTGATTTTAAAATTAATTATGTATATGGGACTATGGCTCCCTTAAATGAAACCATAATTTTTCTACAAATGCTCAGACAATGGAGGGAAGTGGCAAGTGTCTTGAAAGGAAAGTTTTTGGTAGTGTTACCAGTATTTTGTGATTGTGATGCAAAGTAGTGTGAAATGTTAATATTATTGTTTGTGTTACTGTTACAAGTAACCTTCAAAGGAAAAACAAAAAAAGCTTTGTTCTTGCGCTGTTGTTACGCTGAATAAATAAAAGTTATTTTTTCCCCCTCAGAGGGAACATGGAAATAAGCACATGCTTTTATTCACTACTCAGGAAATGATGAGTCATTGCAGAAGGTACTCACCCAGAAGTGTTTCTCAGGCTGCCTCTGTACAAGAAAATGGGAAGAGTTCCTTCGATTTAATCCAGTAGAGCTAAATTTGTGCAGAGCCCGGTGCGAGAGGCTCTTCCCACCTGCCGGGAGCTTCCTGCAGCCCCACTTGTGCAGCAGAGATGCTCTCGTGTTGTCTTTGGAGCCTCAGTGGTGACATTTCCCAGCCACCCCGATGTTCTCTTTGGCAGAGCACGGTCAGCCCGACCCCAGAGCCTGACGTTAAATCCTGGGGTGAAAACGAGCCTTTTTGGTGTCCTTGGTGGCTCCAGGGGCTGAGCAGGGCTGCGGTGACACCGGCTGAGCCACAGCCACACAGCCCAGGGCAGCAGGGATTGCAAACCCACCTGGCAAACGTGGGAAACAACTCGAAAATCCAAAAAAAAATGTTCCCCTTCTCGTCTTCATTGTCTCTGCAGAATGCTGTGAAACCACACAATGAAAGTGACTTCAAAACAAGCAGTGACAGCACCACAAAAGGCAGTGATTATGTAAGAACTCCCATTATTTTGGTTTAAGAGATTTAAGGACAGCACGTCACTACACAAAAATGCCATAAACTGGCAGTTTTCAAGGTCGTGTTTGAGGTGCAATGTTCAAAATATAGGCTTCAAAATATCTTTCCCTGCACGTTTAATTTGGTTTGGCTTGTAAGGAGTAATTGCTTTGTTTTGATCGTTGTCTTTTACAATTACACAGCACTTCCAAAAGAATATTGCCATAATTTGATGTAGGTCTACAAGAAAAACAGTAAACTAAGTATGCACTAAATTTCCTTTTTTCTCCTCATCAATGCCATGTAAGACCTTTATCTCTCTGCATGCCATCTACAGCAGAACTAATCACTTTCCCAACTAAAGCAAGGGATTTATAAATGAAGATTCTTATGGTTTCACTGTAAGGTACTACTGGCACTGCACTGCACTAACTTCAAGGAAATCGGGTTTCATAACAAAACACCTTCAGAAAGCTCAAAGCTCAGGGGGGATTTTCAGAGTCAAAGAGATAAAATTGCAATTGTCATCACTAAATACTCCCATAAAAGACCCAGCTGACAATCCTCTTAGAAAGGCAATGGGTCTTTTACTCCTGTACACAAGCTGACCTTTTTTATAAAAAAGCCCCACAACATACATAAACATATATGTACGCACACACACATATATGCATATGTATAAATATGCAAAATTCCTGTTTCTCAGCAGCACCTGTTACCTGAGCCAGGCATTTCCTGGACTCATGACGCAGGTAGCTGCAAAACTCATGTTAATCCAGGGGTTTTGTCCCAAAAATTATGTCCAGCTATTTAAAAATGATGCTGGCATCTTATGCTGAACACCAGAGATATTTTCTAGCAATGCAAACAACGGCTATTTATTCCCAAGCTCCCGAAACCCAGACACAGAGGCATGCTGAGGAACTGCAGTAAATTCCTGTATTTTTCCCCAAAAGCATCAGCAATTTTCAACACTTCCATGTGAGTTTTACAGAGAGAGTGAGTTACAGCCTGCCTTCTCTCAAAAACATGTTGATTTTAAAATATAAACCTGATCTGTACATATATTTTAAAACCACATTAATGTCTCACTGCCAGCTCCACAGCAACACGTTTTATTTTAGGAGAGCATTTGAATAAAAACATAGAGAAACAAAATCAAATTAATTTATTTATGTGCAAGTCAGACTAGACTGACATAAACAACTTCACAGGGGACTAGCAAAGATACATAGGTAAAATTACTTACAGAAATTCATAGATATAGAATAATCCATACAGAGTAATCAAAGTCACCACATAGTCATTTCCTGGTGATGTCTTCTTTAATTTTATGTGATTATTCTGTTTACTGACATCCACAGGTATTGCTCAGATGTAATTCTTCCTTAAAAATACTTCTGGCAATTGCTGATGTTTTTCACTTAATAGTTTAATGAGTTTTAACAAATCCCAGTACTTCAGGTGGGAACTGGTCAGTGGGAAGGTTTCTAAACACCAGAAGTGTGTCTCTGTGGTCCCAAAGAGTGTGTGGTCCCACTGAGAGAAGAAATCCTACAAATAAAAGAATGCAACTGCCAGCAACAAACCACAACTGAAAAATGCATCGTTTCTCCAAACTCACTGTAGAAATTACACAGCCAAGCCTGACCCTTTGCGGGTTACTGCCACTCACTTTATCAGTGATTAAATTAAATCAAGTATACTCTGTTTAGCTATCCCAAGTATAATCAGGCAGTTTTCTACCTTATGTGGAAAAATTTGTTCCTAATTTTAGCCAAGGACACCTTAGCAGGTGACCAAAACAAAGAAAGCTCTACCCTTCAATAACAATAAACAACTATTACATAAATCTCTCAAAGGAGTTGTAGGTAACAAAATGCAGTCTTGAATTTTAATGTGAAATCATGATAATTCAAGATTTAGGATTAAGAAATGTAACTAAGTGTTCTGACACAGCTGTACCAATGCCATGTAAGAATCAAAAATTGCTGTAGTTTACTTTAGTACTAACAGCCTGTAAAATGTTGTGTACAGCATCTGTTAGGTTAACAGAAGGGTTAACGAAGTTCCCACAGGGACCCTGTGAGAGGAATGGGAAAGGGAGGACAAGAAGTTGACAGAGTAATACTTCTCAGGGCATTAGCTTTTATTCAGAAGCTAAATTGTCCTCTGTGACTGTGGAAGAAACCTTTATTTTCTGGTGTCCTCTGTGGTGTTTAGCAGAAGCCAGTCCTGCAGGGCCAGTGTCTCTGTGTGAGTCCTGGGGAACTGCAGCAGCCAGAGGGGCAATAAATGGCTTAAAGGAACCAGGGCAGGCTCTTCCTGCAGGTGGCTAGCAGGGCCTTAGCTTTTATCTCAGGAAATTCCCACTGTGGAGAACTCTGAGAGCTGCAGGGCCATCGCCCACCGGGCTGAGAGAGCCACGGGGAACGTCCCTGCAGCCCTGGGGACAGCCCAGGGACAGCACAGGGACAGCCCAGGGACAGCCCAGGGACAGCTCAGCCCAGGGACAGCCTAGGTGACAGCCCTGGGACAGCCCTGGGACAGCCCAGGGACAGCACAGGGACAGCACAGGGATAGCCCTGGGACAGCCCAGGGACAGCACAGGGACAGCACAGGGACAGCCCAGGGACAGCCCAGGGACAGCCCAGGGACAGCCCAGGGATAGCCCAGGGACAGCTGAGCCCTGGGGACAGCCCAGAGTAGGACAGCCAGGTGTGGGGACAGTTCAGGGATGGGGACAACCCTGCTGGGGACAGTTCTGTCACTGTGGCCACACTGAGCCCAGCTGGCAGCACCAGCCAGGGCTGCTCACCAGCCACGGCACGGCTCCGGCACTGCCCGGACGTGGTGACCACGGGCACGGTGACCACGGGTACGGTGACCACAGACAGAGTGACCACGGACAGAGTGACCACGGGCACAGTGACCACGGGTACGGTGACCACGGGCAGGGTGACCACGGGCACGGTGACCACGGGTAGGGGGACCACGGACAGAGTGACCACGGGCACAGTGACCACGGGCACAGTGACCACGGACAGAGTGACCACGGGCAGGGTGACCACGGGTACAGTGACCACGGGCAGAGCAGCTGTCCAAGCAGTCCAAGCAGCCCCTGTCCCCTCCTGGAGTGTGGCACCACGGGTCCCACGCCACGAGCAGGGGACAATGAGGAAGACACTACATTTCTGTTTGGGAGGCCTCCCTACACAGTGCCAAACAACAACTCCTGCAATAACCACAGCCATACTCAACACCGTGCTTCTGGCAGGGAAAGTGCATTTCTTTGAATGAAAAAATCCTCACATTTAAAGGGGTTTGCAACATAAAGCACTGTGAGGTCAAGCATTGCCTGCTTTGCATGCACTATTCTATTCCAATGGCTTTTTTGAATTCAGAATTTTGTGGCTCAAAGATGTCATAATAAACCCTACTTTTATCAAAATTTTCTCGGATGAGAAGCAAGTCTTCTACAGAATACACATCTTCCTTTCCTGTCCAAACAGTGAGGCTGTATCTATGTCCAGAAAAAGGGAGAAAACAAACAAAACAAAAAGAGTATGTTAAGATGAAGCATGTAAAGCAGAAAGATATTGCACTAACAGACTCCTAAAAATACTCTGGATTATAACATCTTACCTTTAGAAATCTAATTAAATACAAACAGCTGCACCCCCAGACCAATTTATCTGTGACTGTTCTGCCAAACCTCAGAGAGAGAGTTAAATAAAAACCTCAAAATATCCAGCAAAGAAATTTACCAGACTGAGTATTTAAGGTTTGATATATTAATTGTCACAAACTGAGCCTCAAAAGAGGAAAAATGATGCAATCCCAGATGCAGGAGATTGTTGTGCTCTGTGCTTTGTCTCAATGATGTGTAGAGATGCCACCTAACCCAATTCTCATTAATTGCACAGAAATTCTGAAAAAATACTTAAATTCCTCTAAATTCAGTTAAAGCATTATTTCCACATTCTCCAAATGACATATACTTAGTTTTTCCCCTTGATTAATAAAGCTGTATTTATTTTAGAAATGGAAAAACGAGAATTCAATTGTATGTCAGCAAAACTGGCTCAGGAATTTTTATCTTCTAATCATGCCACTGAAACACATCCCTGAGTTTCATGAGGAGGTAAAAGAGAAAATCCTAGTATTTCAGTGGGAATAATGTTTGTATCCAATGATATCTGACACTGGCACAATTCATAAGATACATTCTTAGTGCAATAATATTTGAAAATCAATTTCCCAGTTTTAACAGCTTAATTCTAATTCCTGTCTTGAGTCTTCACCTTAAAAAAAAGAATATCAGCACTTTATTTGTCCACCCTATTGTTTCTGAATAATTAGATATTTTTCACGGACTCTCTTTTTTGTCTTGGGCTTTGACCTTGATTGGAAGAGTTTTATTAAACTCTGGGAAGGCAGAGCAGTTGAAAAAGATAAGTAAATGGCAACATGTGGTAAGCTGGTTTTATTCTCATTCTATTACATGTGAAGAATTTTTATAATGAAATGGTTAGGGGTTGGTAAGAATAATTTCTAAAAGAAAATGTAAGATGCTGTATGAAAACCACTGAATACATTTCAAATATCTCAGCAAAATTAATTACTTAGGAGGGAAACACCTGACTTCCAATCTAAAAATCATCTTTAAAATTTTTCAGGAGACATTGAAACGAAAATTACAAATAATGAATCCAGTGTGAAATCTCTGGATTGGATGGATACCCAATTGCAACATCAAACTATTTGGTCTATTTAAGTACATTCATCTCAGGAACTGTTTGCAGCAGAACTGGGTTACACACCTACGTGTCGCTATAGGACACGTGAAAGCACGACGCGAGCCCCCTGCTATTTCCAAGGTAAAGAAGAAAGTTTATTCTCCAACTCCAACTTTTATACTTTCCCAAAGGTGACAATGGATTGGAGAGTGAATGGGCCACCTCTCCAAAGACATTGGACAAACCACTAGTACATCAAGTTTCTCCAACCCCATAAAAGAATGCAAAACAATATGTTGTTTATAGAAATTGTGTGGGAAAGTTCTCCAAAACAATGTAAACTCAGAAGGCTTTAGAAAATCTTAAGAATCAGGGTGACACCTACGCACCACTTAAAAGTCCTCACAGTGGGTAATGAAAAAGAAGTTTCTGGAATATAACTACTTTCAGAAATTAATAGTGGCCACTTCTGCCTGAGGACTGAAATGCTCTGAGGCCTGCGGGAAGCGAGGCACTGAGAGAAGAATTTCCGAATTGCAGTGCCACCAGGGAGCTGGCACACCCCGAGCCGAGTGTGACACCAGCGCTGGTCAGGACACGCAGGGCAGAGGGGCTGGCACTGCTCGGGCTCTGCTGCAGCTGCAGGACGCGCTGGGAGCAGCACTGACCTGGGGCACTGCTGCAGCAGCCACTGCAGCTGCGGGAGGGAGTCGGGCACCAGCGCAGCCCTGACCGCGAACGTCACCGGCTGGGACAGCGGCTGGCACAGCTGCCACATCTCCTGCACCATGGGCCACCCGTACCCTGGGGACAGAGAGCTCAGAGAGGTCAGAGAGACTCTGGACACAGGGCACAGACAGCTCACACAGCCTGGGGACACACAGGGCACTGACAGCTCACACAGCAATGGGGACACACAGGGCACTGACAGCTCACAGCAATGGGACACACAGGGCACTGCCAGCTCAGAGCAATGGGGACACACAGGGCACTGACAGCTCACACAGCAATGGGGACACACAGGGCACTGACAGCTCAGAGCAATGGGACACACAG